CAGAGTTTGCTGAGGTATGCTTATGGTTTATAATTCTGGACCGGGTCTGTGTTCGACCTGCGGTTAGATCTTTGGACCTGGAGCGAAATCCCGCAGCATAAGGCTTGTCAAGCCGTCGCTTCGCCTTGCTGCAGCAACATCTATCACGTACCCGCGGGCCCAGCATGTGCAGCCCCACGCTGCTGCATATTGACTGTCCACATGTCAAGCGAGCCTTGCTGGGCATCCGCGTGCCGACCTATGGCACATGGCCGCCAGGCCAGGTCCGCTTCCACAAGCTATGAATGCACTTCCCCCACACAAACCATACAGTGTCAGAGCAAACCTGACTGTTCGGAGCCAAGCTGAGAACAAAAACAGCAAAATGTGTTTAGCGACATGTAATGATGTTGCCATGCCCACTGAGTGCCATGCTCGGCCGGGTCCGAGCCTTGCAAGTGGCAGCCGCAGATACAGCTGCAACTTTGTCATGTGTTCTCTCACGCTTGAGTAGCTTGTCAAAATGCCTCTAGTTTGGAAAGCGCAAAAACCAATGCTCCCAACTTTTGACGGCCCCTTACCATATGATCAGCTACGCCGAACTGTACCCACAGCTGATGCCGATTGCCTTACCCAATGATGCACCGGCGCAGGGCGCAAGCTCGGCGGAAGAAAATCAGGGGCGCATGTTCAACCCATAGATGGCGAATTGGGGAAGGCCTGGCCACACGGAAAACGCAGGGTTCTCCCGCCTGTGGCGCCTCATCCTCAGCGTGTAGCTGGTCTAGGTCCAAGCAATCCTGCCAGCTGGCGCCGAGCTAAGATTCCACACCAAAAACAGCCAAAGGGTCCCTACGCTTGAGGATTGCCCTCATCAGGAATCAGGAATCACGATAATTAGTTCCTGAGAACACTCACCAACTGTGTTGGGCGTCGCCCAAATCACACGCTTCTGATGGAGGACACCCGAATCACATGTCGAATGTGATTATCACTGCAAGGCTCCCCCGTCATCAATGCACGGTTCTTGGGATCTCTTGGGCCCATTGATGTCAAAGAGTTGCCCCCAATCCAGAAAGGCAGTTTGGCTCACTACTGATCCCAACTTCCGTCAACTTCCGTCAACTAAAGCAGAACATGCGGAAGGTTCCTTGAAAGATCACTTTCACGCATTTCAGAAATTTCACAAGCGTGTCACGCCAGAACAACCGCATGGCAGGGGCCTGTGGCTCATCCAAGAGGGCACCACCTTGGCTCAGCTCCCAAGGCATGAAAGCCAGTTTTTACTGTGTGGCTCCATCGAATCCAAACATTCCCCAACATGCATCCTTCAACTTCCAGAAAGCTTGATGAGCGCCTGCTAGGAAGAGTGCAAAGGCGTTAGTTGAGTTGTGTCCTGTTGGCGGTATAAAATCTGGACCGACTGGGCTCCTCATTCATGTGTGTGTGTGGTTGCGTTTCTTTTCTGCCAGCTTCTATGAATGTTCGGCCGCCCATCTCAAACACTGCGAGTCGAGAAAACAATACTCACAAGTAGGACCAAGGCCGGCACTCGAAGTTGCAGTGCTAGCATCACTCCCACAGGTTGCCACCTAGAACAACGGCAGTGCAGAACTGCGCGATGTTAACATGACTAGAAGCAAAGCATGGACAATATGTTCACAACATGTTTACCACTAAGATTAAGCTGTTTGTGGTTTTGTTCGCCGGCATGTACCCCTCCAGGCAAGAGATTTGTATCAAGCGTTTGCGACGCTGTGACTCTGCCGATGGTCAGCCAAAGCCGCCCCCCTGTGGGCCCGACCAGGTCCGAGCCAAGTCTGGGGCCTTTGGCAAGCGAACAACGCAAACACGGGTCCTGTATTTTCCTTCCATGGGCATTCGCGAAGATGATCACGCAAGATTGAACCAAAGTTAACCAGAGTGTCGCTTGGCTGCAGCTCAGCAGAGGCGTTGGACAGCTAGATAGGGCCAAAGAAAGCTCGAGCCGCGGCCTTGCTTCAAAGCTCGGTGTTGGACCTGCGGCCTCGCGGATCCAGTCAGCCTCATACTCCGACTCAATGTTGAAGCCCCTGCGCTGGCACACAACAATTGACGAACCTGAGCCAGCGCCCGCAGCCTACTACGTGGACTTGATCCCAAAGAATACAAGGGAAGAACTGGAAGTTTGGAACCAGCTGGGAAATCCACTTAATGTCACACATACATCGCGCAGGATTCTATGTGGACTCTTTCGGAGTCCTGGTGTTCTCTCCTAGCTGAGAAGCCCCGGTCCAGGTGCACTGGTGAACTTGGGCAAGGGGAAGCATCCCTCACGAAGGCTATGACGCCAATCGATAAAAATCAGCCGAGGCACAAAGGAGCTGCGGCTGCCAAGTAGCGCTCCTGGCCGAGCCATGCGGCTCCGCGCTCACAGCCATTGTTGGCCGGCCATGGCTAGGGCCTACATGCGACAGTCCCACAGCCTGAGACAAATGGTTTTGCTGTTGTTGATACAGAGGGACAGGCTGCACATTTGCCTGTCTTCCGACTGCTGCTAATGCATCAACGACTTGGTGACCTCGAACGTGTTGTTGCAGCCCTCACCCAACAAGCTCGTACGACCCCTCTTCCTATTCAAGAGTCCCTGCTAAGAGTCAAGTTTAACTGTGAGTCCTTCTGAGCAAGCAACTTTTTAGAACGTCCAATCTGCAGTGACAACCTCTTTGCCCGGATTGCGTGGGCCAGCATGGGAGGCAAATCCGCATCTCCTCGTCTGCCTCCTCTTCCTCCTCTTTCACTGCGCGCATTCGACTGCCCAAGTTGCCTCAGCAGCCCGCCGTCTATGTTGAACTACAACCTCTAGGGAACTGGACCCCACCAACATGGCGGTACATTCGAGCAACCATGATTTGCCCGTGAGAAGGATCGCTTCAAAATCCATCGCAGAACAGCTCTGCTGGGGCTGGCGCGCTTGGGTTTGCGCTCATGTGCCTGGCGCCGTATCATGATCCTCTCTGCAGTCAGACTCTTAGGCAGTTGGCGTCGTGCGCTGGAGGAATAGTACGCTTAGATGATATCGCTGTCCCCTGGCAAAAAGGGACAGGTAAAGCCCCAAGTCATGCAAACCAAAGCCGTCAAGCAGTGACATGCTTCGGTCAATCGCCAAAGCACTCTCTCTTGACCCTTGGTCCATCCCAAGGGGCCCTTCACTACGCTTTCCAACTAAGTCATGGTGGGCCGATTCGGGCAAAGCATGCCGACCCCCCAAAACCGCAACTTCACCCAGCCTCGCGGGAGACTGCTGCTCCAGCAACTCCGGCTGCCTGGGCGGCGCTTGGCGGACTGGCTGAAGTTGGGGCAAACCAGCCCAAAGCAACATGTCTTTAATCAAACCCTCGCGCGGACAGTGGCTTTGCCATGGGCAACCGACTCAAAGCCAAAAATCGCAAAAATCACATTCGGTCAATGTTATGTGGCTTTCTTGGGGCGGCGTGACACGGTCGCAGCACGGGTGCCAAACTAGCAGCTCGAGCTCCAGGAGCATGCGAGCCTCCTCCTCCGACAGCCCACGGCCTGGCCATAAGTTGCGACCCAGAAGACGTGTCCACTTGGGCGCTGCGAGATCCCTGCAAAATCTCAGGCACTGTGGCGCTTGGCAAAAAAATAAGAGATGGATCAGTGACATGTGTAATTTTGCTGCACTAAGGAAGCCAAAACGCCTGCAAGGCCAATTGCCTAACATCCTGTGCATCAAGTTCCTGACAAATGACGACACATGGTCAACCAGGTCGGAATGGCAGTCAGTCATGGGGCCTTCGTTCAGCTCCCATGCGCTTCCAGCGCTTGAGCAAAGGGCCAGGGTGCACGCGCTGCGCTGCAAGCATCTGCGCCACGAAAGCACCGCGCACCAACAAGCCCCCCTTGCCAGCGCTTCAGTGCCATTCCATGCCATTCCCATACTTCCCTCAACCACCTTCTACTTCCCCATTGAGGGCACTTGTGCTGCAAGAATGTAGCTTTTGTCCGCAAATGTCCGCAGTCAACGAACAGCCAGTGTTCAAACTGGACTCACTGTGAGGATCAGCATGGGGGAGGATGACGATTGCCGGTTGAAGTAGGTCCTTACCAAGCAGAGCTGCTAGGAGTGACATACACTGACATACACCAGCACACAAACAAAGCAACAAGAGCAGCAACGGTCCCAGCCAAGGCTCTCCACCTCAATCTGCATGCCACGCTCCGTCATCATCTCCTACAGCGCTTCTTGGAAGGGCTTACTAGGGTTCTGAGGACCATTCCGTCGGGAATACTGACCAGCCCAACGGTAAGTGTCTAGGATCTCAAAAGTCATCAAGTGGGCGCTACGAAGCAATTTTGCATCCGCGTCCTTGAAGTAGTCCACAGATCCCAGCGAACGTCTTTCTATGTTGTCTGGCTCCTTAGTCGTGGATTCACACATTTCTTGGATGCTGCTGGCGATGCACGGGGCTAAGCCAGTGGCTCATACATTGAAATGGGGATGACTTTGGTCAGGCTGGTTGGCCGAGTCCACAGGGGACTTTTGAATCCAAGTCTCCAAGCAAAAACTAACCTGGAAGCTCATTGCGGTGACTGGCCCAAACCGATTCAATCCCATTCGCGAGCTTCATCAGCAGCATCGCTGCCGCAGGTCATCACAACTTCAACCTCTACGCCCTGCAGAATCAGTTTGCCAGTTGCCCTCCTGGCCTGGGCCCGTGCATCACCAGCAACCCCCGTCACGGCCCACCAGGAACGGCCCCACGCATGGCTTTGATGCGCCAATTCAGCAGAGCAAGCAACCGGGAAAACGGCCGAGAAGAATATGATGAGGGACGCAGTGACGCACAAGGCTGACAAGCTTGCTGGTAGCAATCCTGCCCACAGCCCGAGGAATCATGCACAGATGCCCAGGCCTACTCTTCTAATTGCTCATCCCTCAGAAGCCGCTTCCTCCGGAAATTCTGCGTCCAAGAATCGATCAGGAGAGCGGGGCCATCCAAATGAAGGATGAGCTCCAC